TTTCATCCCTTAATCTCTGCAATAAAAAAATTAATATTGCGACGAAAGTCACGGCGCTATAAGAAACCCAATGTTTTCTCGGCGCAGAGTGACTCCCCATTAATTCGCCCGCTAATTAAAAAATCGTCTCTTTTCTCCTAATTAATATTAAGGAATGAAACCAATGCTGTTCGATGGAGAATTAAATTCCCCATCCTTCAACCCCCGTTTCATTCCGTAATCTCTGTAATGAAAAAATAAAAACTGCGACGAAAGTCGCGACGCTATGAGAAACCTAATGGTTTCTCGGCGCAGTGACTCCCGACAACTCGCCTGCTCCGTGAAGTGGGCACCCCACTTGGTTGGATTTGAACCAAAATTTCATAATTGATAGATTTTGAGCTACTCGTGATAGTAGTAACGTTTTTCTTGTTTGTAGTTTGAAATTGAGCGTCCAATTCGTTTTTGAAATACAGTTAGGAACTATTCCATAGTTAGAGCTGGAGTGAGATTAGATTCTCGTCTGCAATCGTTTGTAGTTGATTGTAGTTCTGAAAATTTCACGATCGGAATCGCAATAAACGTTCAATCGATTTTTTTAACAGTTAGGAACTATTTCATAGTTGTATTTGAGATTACGTGGGATTCTTATTTGCAATCGTTTGTAGTTGATTATAGTTTTGGAATTTTCGCAATCGGAAATCAAATGAGCATTCAATCGATTTTTGGGGCCAAGTGGGAACTGATTGAAAGCTATTGCCAGAATGAGCTCGGATTCCTGTCTAAAATCGTTTGTAGTTGATTATAGTTTTGGAATTTTCGCAATCGGAAATCAAATGAGCATTCAATCGATTTTTGGGGCCAAGTGGGAACTGATTGAAAGCTATTGCCAGAATGAGCTCGGATTCCTGTCTAAAATCGTTTGTAGTTGTTTGTAGTGCTCACAAATTTTCAATGCACCGAGAAAACGAGGTGGCAGACAGTTGATATATGTAGACCGATTTGTTTGTAGTTGTTTCTAACAGTGAAAAAAATATAGAACCTTATAAACCAACGTTCATACTTGATTGTAGGTTTGGAATTTTCCCAATCCGAACTCAAATGAGCATCTGATCGATTTTAGGAGCCCAAGTAGGAACTTGGTAACAGCTATAGCCAAAATGAGCTCGGATT